TATTATTATTATTATTATTATTATTATTATTATTATTATTATTATTATTATTCCTCGTTCTCGATGACAGCAGCTAGAAAGTCAGTCCGATGTCACGCACAAACTGTGCAGTTCGCTTCAAATCTGAGAGACTGCCTTAGAGCTTTCTCTCACGTCTGTGTACGAAGGGTGGCGTAGTGCGGGCAGTGCTGAAGGATGTGGCTGGCATCCTCTTGGTCGTGTCCACATTCACAGATTGATTATTATTATAATTATTACTACTATTATTATGACTAATGTTATTATCATCATCATTATTATTATTTCAAAGACAGACCTGTGCTTTCCTCAGCGCCTGCGGGTCCGAGTATCCCAGCTTGAAGAGACGAGACGACTCCTTGCCCAGCCCGTTGACGATCGCCTGGTACGTCTGGATGTCTGTCTCCAACACCTGCGACAAAGAAGGAGTTACAACTTTTTACAAATTTGAGTCTTGATTTCAGTTTTAGTAAGAGTTTTACTTCACTTGCAACACAATAAGGTCATATAAGTGCCGAAGATTAGACGTGTGTTACAAGAGAGTAACAAACCCAAAAAAGAAGGAGGGGAGATAAGGACGATAGATGTTTGATAGGAAAGGAGGAGCAAACCACACTAGAGCACACGCCAACCACCTACAGTTTTGATTTTGAGAAATAAGAAGCACGTTAACAGCATCAATTAGTGCTAGTAAAAAGAAAGGCTGACAGATAGCCAGACACACAGAGGACAGACAGACAGACAGACAGACAGACAGACAGACAGACAGACAGACAGACAGACAGACAGACACACAGACACACAGACACACAGACACACAGACACACATAAACAAACAGACAGAAACAACAGAGAGAAAGAGAAAAGTAAGGTATACAAGTAACGCCCTCCAACCACCCAAACATGTCAGTTTGAGTCTGAGTAAAAACCTTGGCAGAATAATAGTCATTTAGTGCTAGGAAAAATCCTGACTATCATACAAACAGAATCAATCTAGAAGAAAAGGAGTAGCACACGCAAGTGACACCCTCCAACAACCCACATATTTGTAATCAGATTTAAAGAAAATAGAAAATGTAAAATAATCTTGCATTCAAGACGATAGAAACTCTTTGGTGCCAGATTTATTTCAAAAAAATTTATTTTCATTTCAAAGCAATAGAAACTCCTTTATTCCACATGAGAAAATAAGGTAGCTTTTAAAGACATAAGGTAGCTTTTAAAGACAAGCGGGCTAACCCAGATTTCAGGGGTGTCCAGAAATCTTGACCTACACCAAAAGTAGACATTGTCCTACCTATAGGAGAAGTTTGGTTTCATTGATATGTATATTTGTTTGGTTATATAGATTAAACTCTCCTTGTCTTTTAAAGAAACTGAACAAGGGGCAAAAACTTTACCTTCGATTTTCTCAAAACAGCATTTTTCTCGATAGCCCCATTGTGCTTAAAAGCGACAATATAACAAGCCACACTCACATTGTTCTTAGCTAGAAGTTTGTCTGCGGCGTTTTCATCCTTGCCGAAGTCTTTGCTGGTGACCAGCGCCATCTTGTCGTTGATCCACGCCTCGACCTCTGCTACCTCAGAGAAGTACTGGCAACACAGGGAGTAGAAGTGGTGGCACGACATTAAATTTAATAATATTAATAATAATAATCATAATCATAAAAACATAATAATAATATATAACCTTTATACAGCGCATTTCCCAAAAAAGTAGCTTGATGCGCTTTACATTGGAATACCCATTTTCAAAACCTTCTTTACTACTTCCTTTCTTCTCATGCAATATATATTTATGCACACACACACACACGCACACATACACACACACACACACACACACACACACACACACACACACACACACACACATAGACTATTTTCATTTAGACGTAGGTGCAGAACAACTTTAAATAAAAATAATGTTAAAAGCTTAAGAAGGATCGGCCTGTATGAACAGAAAAAGCTTAAGATGTCTTTTGAAGCTATAGAGTGTTCTGGAAAGGCTCTTAGCACAGGTGTGTACAAAGCTAGGCGCAGAGACAGACATCTACAAGAAATGTCTTCTCTCTCTATCTCTCAGTCTCTCTCTCTCTCTCTCTCTCTCTCTCTCTCTCTCTCTCTCTCTCTCTCTCTCTCTCTCTCTCTCTCTCTCTCTCTCTCTCTCTCTCTCTCTCTCTCTAGCTTTATTCTTTTTTTTCTCTCTATTCTGTCTCTTGATCTTTCTCTTTTTCACTTTGCCTCTCTTTCACTCTATCTATCTCTCTTTCTCTATACAGAGATCACAAAGGAAACAACTGTTGCAATGACATCATCAGTCGCCCCCCCCCCACCTCCCATCAACTGTCAGAATGACATCATCACAACCCCCCCCCCCCCCCCAAACCAAAAAAAAATTTAAAAAATCAGCAGGTACATTGCCGTCATCATCAACCGACCTTCTGCGTCTGCAGAGAGATGTCCAGATTTTTCTTGCGGTTCTTGCACTTCTTCAGCAGGTCGTCCCAGGACACCTGTAGCTCCTGGTTCTTGTCTCGGATGGCCTTGGAGTTGAAGTGATGACCAGCGACCAGACGGTCACCCTCCGACGTCACTTTGTCGATGGCGCCCTGGTGACCCTGAATCTCTCTGTCCAAATCCTGGAGACGAAAAATTGTAGTGTTTTACTATCGTGTCAACAGAGCAGATTAACCTTATCCGTACGTCCTGTTTTACTATAGTATTCATACGAGGTGGGGAACTCTGTGTCACCACTTTCCAAAGAGGAAATTTACTCGTTAATCCGATCCGTACGCTCTGCATAGCAGTCTGTCCAAATGATTTTTTGAGAAATACTGAAAGTTTCAAAGAGATCTTCGCACTAGAAGTATTTTAAAATGTGAAGAATACAACCCCGGAGGTGCAAAATGACCCCAGGGCGTACGGATAGGGTTAAAATAGAATCAAAAGTCAGTCAGTCATGTAATGCATGTACTGCCGATCTGCCTCTCTTGCCCTATATTTTTCTAGCAAGACCAAGATGCCCAAGCCCTTTGTGTTGATTCATGTGTCCTACATAAGGTTGGTAGTGTAAGGATTTAACATCCCTTTCAAAACTGTTTGGTTATTTAAGTCGTTGAACCCCATCGGGCGCTGGAAGCGTCCAGTACAAGAGACAACTGTTTCGTTTTATATAGTGCTAGTTTTTGCTTGCTTTTCAGAACTATTCCAGAACAGAGTTTTTTAGTAATGACTAAGCCTTTGTTTCCGCTAGTTAGAAGTTGGAGGCAAGCTTTTGGGGTTATAATGAGACGTAGTGCATCAGGTTAAGGTGGCTGTAGACAAAAACTCCAGGAAATGTTGGAAAAAACTCAGGGCTTAAAGAGTTCAGAGATGCCACCTTCAGATTTAACATCCATCTCTGATAGAACCAAGCCATTTGGGTTGGGACTTTTGAAGACTCCTCAAAACAACCTAAATTCAAGCATGCCCAGTTGGGGATTCAAATGAGGGCTGTCCACTCCATATTCCAGCATGAAACCAACAAAGCTAAAGGGGCACTCTCTGTGTTTAAAGAACTATATCTCAGTTTGGAGGAGAAAAGAGAAGATTGTAGACATATTAGCGATAAGGAAGCTGGTTGAAGCAGTAAGGCAGACAGACAGAAATAGCAGAGGAAGGAAAGAGAAGAGATAAACCATGGCAACCTTCAATCCCCCCCTCTCCCCTCCCTTTCACCTCTTCCCTCTCACCTCACTCCCTCTCACACCCTCTCTTCTCGTCCCCCCCCTCCTCTTTCACCTCTCCTCTCACCCATTCTGACTGTCTCACGCCCCACCCCTCTCACACCCTCCCTTTTCACACACCCTCCCTTCTCACAACCTCCCTTCTCATCCCCCCCTCCCCTTTCACCTTCCCTCTCACCCATTCTGAGCGTCTCACACTCCTCCCCTCTCACACCCTCCCTT